TTCAACCGATTACGATGTGTTACACTAGCTAATCAAAGACTTGCGGGAAAATGCCACCCTCACAATATCTTCCAGGCAAAATCTTAATGGATGAGGGGAAATCGCTATATTCACAAATTGCTAGCTTTGCATAGAGCATCATGCGAAAATCAATGTTTATGGCAAACGTCAACATCCGATAGAATCGTTGGGGCGATCAATGCCCCCTACAACACCGGCACAACTTGGTCGTTTCCAATGAATATATGGATGAAGGCCATTCATTATTCATTCATCCAAGTAGCGGTTTATCGTCCTGGTGTGGCTTCGTACCATTACACGGTCATGCGTCGACACTACGTTCTGCGGGTAGTTGTTGCTACTCTCTGTGTTTTGATCGGCGTCGCTTCCACCACCATGGTCGACGTTAAGACCGACCTCCATACGATGCCACCTGCAACGACGGACCCCTCGTTTACTCCTAGTGAGACTGATACAAAAAGCAAACGATTGCTGCGCGGTTTTGATACGAGCTCTACAGATACCGGGAAGTTTTACTATTACCCACCAAGGAAAGGCAACAGAAGACCGTTTATTGAGGTTCGACTCAAGGAGGCGCTGACAAACCCAAAGATAACAAGGCGATTGTACGAAGGGTGGTCGAAGCGTGGATTTACCTCGGACAAGTTGCTACAGCTTTGGGCCAGATTCAAACCAGAAATCTCGACGAAGTTTATCAGAAGCTCGCGAAAGGTTATGCAATGTATGTCGAGAAGGGTTCTCAACGGCAAAAGCTTTGAACAAGCGATTACATATGTAAGAGCGATTCGCTAATGTAGACACCGCTAAATGAATACATGATGAAGAATTGATATGTTCCTGTGTGCACCAGCTACGCTCCCACTTAGCAGACCTTCGCGGTCAAGCGCTTGTAGTCGGACAACATATTATTATCTACTTACACACATAAGTTTTTCTTCGAGATAATTATTTCCACTCCTGCACGAGAAGAATATTTCAAGAGAACTTTATGGTCTGCAGTAACCATCTCATAAACAGCTAAGAGAAATATGTTAAGATATGTTCGACGATATGATTATAAATATGGTAGTGAGATCCGGAAAACGGTTTCTGTGTTATTGAGGACGATTAAGCGCCTGAGCTCATCGACAGAATGAAGCTGCTGGACTAGTCCAAGACACACGGGCGACAGACCCTCAAACCCACATGCGTCATTACCCTGGTGTACCACCGCTGTAGCGGCAGAGTGGCTGAACCCGCAACTCTCAAGACGGCGCAAAGCTCCACACCGTCTACTCGATAGGGGAAGTGATGGCTACATCTGTATCTGCTCCATCTAACGTTGGACCGAAAACGACGGCTACACTGTCGCTTAATGGACTCCTCGT